CTCTGTCGGTTAATTATCCTGAACGATCCGCGGGGATTCCGACCTACAGTGTAGTCTAGGCTGCGTTGGGCAAAGGAGTTGCTGGCAGCTTGGGATCGTTTGCGACCATATTACCTAGAATGTGCTCTGAAATCCTTGTTGACAGCCTTCTCTCTGTTCGGCCCACGTACTTGCTACAAGTACCGTGAAAGTGGTCAATCCATGAGGCGGTAACTAGGGGTCTGGCTTGTCAAGGTTGGATCTACATAGCAGCTTCCTTACTTGGTACAATAGCACAAGTTCGGCCGCATAATAACATTTCTTTATCATCTGGCGGAGACGGTGCCGGAATCTATCATTTTGGTCCCCTGTAAACTAAAATGTACTAAACACTATTTTCTGAGGGACGTCAGTCAGTCGTTTTTTTGTTTGCTGTTTGCGCATCATGCTACAAATCTGTTAGGTTATCCGTTTTCCGGTAATGTTGAGGATATGTGCTTAAGCTCACTGCTGATAGTATCTTCAGAGAAAATCTTACGAGCTCTCGCAAAGGTGGTGCGAACCAATGCTTGTTTATACTTTAGAGGACAACAACTGTTAAAGTTTAGGTACTGTCCTGTCCAAGTTGGCTTGCGATACACGGATCGAGTGAGTGTACGGTCTGCATTCCTCTCTAGCGTTACATCCAAAAATATGGAACGTGTTATTCATTTCACTTTCCATCGTGAATTTGACTGCAGGGTGGCACGCGTTTAGAACATCGAGTAAGTGCGTTGTCTGCCGAGTAGTATCAACGACAACATGTGTCGTCGTCAATGTATCTACAGTACAGATGAACATTTTGTATGCTATCACGCAGTGCGGTGTACTCCAAGTGGCCCATGAAAATATCAGCTAGAACTGGACCCAGTGGGCTGCCTATGACAACACCATCTAGCTGACGACAGATTGTTCCGCCGAATTGGATCTGAATGTCTTCTGTGCACAATCTCAATAGCGACTTGAGATGCTGCCCCGGAAATCCCACTTCATCAGCGTGAACGCCGATGATGTCGAAAGTTACTTTCAGTGGAACGTTGCTGAATAACCAGCACACGTCACAAGAAACCATGTATTTTCTTTAAATATTTAAGCCTCGTATTTTGTCGACGAATTCGAATGTATCTTTGATATTGTATCTAGTAAGCTCACGTCGGATAGGTTCAAGAAGCTGAGATAGCCATCGTGCCAGTTTCAGATAGGGCATTTTTAGCAATGAAACGGTCAGACATAGGGGATGTTTGCTTTATGAGGCTTTGGTAAACCGTACATCTGAGGAATCTGACATCCGCGTGGGCGGAGCTGTGTCATCGTTTTAACTTCAATCTATCCAGCTTTCAATAGCTTTTCAGTTTATTAACTATGGCCTTTTCAACTTACTCGGTTCTGTCACGACCTGTTGACTCACGAGTGAAGCGGATAGTGTCTGCAAGAATCGACTGCATTTTTGCTTATCCATTATGACTACTCATGCTCCCTTGTCAGGTTTCAGTTTTCCTAGATCTTCATTTCGGCACATGTTCCGCAGCGATTCCCAGTGATCGTTTGTTAGAACTCTGCATTTTTCGGTTTCAGTAACACTGAATTGGTTAGCTAAATCCACCGCCTTAGCTTTAAACCAACCGCATGCGTTGTCGGTGGCTGGAATCAAGCTGGACAGTTGGTCATACAAGTTTTCGAACTGTGCCTCAATTCCTATTCTGTCACATTTCTTTGGAGGCACTGAAAAATTGAACCCTAATGATAGTGCTTCAAGTTGAGAGCGACTTATTGAGACGGTGGACAAGTTAACCACGTATTTCTCAGGATCCATCCGTATCTATTCATTGAAACACCCCGGTGACATGGCGCTCAAAAGATGTGATACTGAAACTTGACAAGGGAGCGGGTGTAATCATAATGGATAAGCAACACTATGTCCAAAAAATACAGTCGATTCTTGCGGACACTATCCGCTTCACTCGTGAGTCGACAGGTTGTGACAGAACCGCTCAAAATCGAAGGTTCTGTATTCTCGCACCGCTCCTTATCATAACTTTGTTTTGCCTTATCTATCACGTCTTCTACTGAACCCATACGAAGATCATTGATGCCATACGTGAACGTTTGCTTGAGTGCATGTATGTATATTTTACTTTTTCTCACCATTTACCTATCCTTTTTTATCTGCGATGAAATTGCCTATTGCGCATCACCGTACTGATGACGCCACCTCGCATAGTGGCGAAACGTAAGCGACCGTTTACTTCAAGGTCAGTGAACCAATCCACCGTTGGACAGCCGACCCGGACTACCATTGTGTCAAATTATTCCGACGTTACACTTTGGTTGTTTCTGCCTGAAACATAGCCATTCCACTAATTGTATGCAAACAGCTGTCGAGAATAAGCAAAATAGCTATATTCGTATTATCCTGTTGCTATGCCTTACTTTCTTGTCATTTTTCAATGAATAAATTTTGTATTCCTCAACGACTCGAGACACTGTTCCTTAGGAGTGACAGACCAAAAATCGTTACGACCATTTCATGCTACTACATAATTAATTTTTTAATGAGCACAAATTCTTTGTCTGTGTGACACATAGTAACTCGTAGTGTTTACTGGTTCCTCGGACTTTATGAATCAGTGTACTTCACAAACACGTATCGGATGTTCGGGCTGGAAAGTGAATGAGGCGAGAGGGGTTGTATCACAGACTGTGATATGTAGTTGTTCATTTAGATCGAATACATGTGTTGTTGGTAATTTTGTCCGTCGCCATGGACACCGCTCTCGTAGGCATTATCCAGGGATTGAGATGTCCCAAACATACGAAGCACCTTTTGTATGCTGTGTATAGCCTAGTGTGACATCTTTTTGCAGTTTGTTCCAAACCTTTGGATATTCGATTATGGACAAACGCCCTCTTGTTTTCGTAGTAAACTTTGTAATTGTGACCTTTATCTCTTTGTTGCTGATTGGGTGTCAGTTGTTTAAATACATGTGAATACCATTATCCGAACTGTGCTCCCATCATGCCTGAAACCCTAATGTCGCCTTTTCATTGATGGGCGATAGGGCATAAAGGCACAGGTGTGGACCTAATGCTATTATTCTTTCTAACGTGAGTACTCGCGATCGTCAACTGCTTCACGTGACTGAATCACAAGGAATGCTGGTCTTCAGCAATCCAAAATTCCCATTTATTAGAATGAATCAAGGCAGGCAGAATTTGACTAATGCATTCTTTTCGGTAATTCTCCTCAGACTCAAACATTACATGATAATGAGAAAATGCTAAATGTGTCGGATTGGGCTGCGTATTGATCAGAATGTTTAATTCCAACCGGAACAAATCGATAACTCACGGGTCATTGAAGTTGGCAAACTATGTACAGGGGAAATCACAATCGAAGTTGTAGGCCACAGTAGAAGTAGTGGACCTACAAACTGTTTTTCTACGCACAATTCTGGCTTGAGGTTGCGGATGTAGCTAGCTTCCGCAATAGACAGGGCATGCTTCCGGATTCCACGCGAGAAACGCTCAGGAATAGTATAGATGACTCTGAAATCGTTTTACCTCCCTGCGTGACTGCACTCTAGAAGATGGGACAAGATGGAGCTGTTACTAGACTTCGCTTCGCCTTTGTAATTCCACTTCGGGATGTGTTCGCAAATCCTATGAGATAGGCGCCTCGTGATACGACCCACGTATCGTTCACCACAGGAGCACGAGTAAAGAGAAACAAGCAGTCTGTCTTTCAAAGGTTTTGCGAATAAAGGCTTGTTGTAAAATACTATGCGTAGGCGAGCCGCGAAGTAGGTCTTTTCAACAGCGTCTCTCAGGCGTTTGGACAGGGCATCAGCCGCACTGTCGCCTTTGAAAGGAATATGCACAATTAGTTCTTTTTGGGTACGTTCATCCTCGGGGGTTTTATCTTGCGTTCTTTCAAATGTTTGGGGATGAATTTATCTGGATACCCATTCTCTCTTAGCGCGTCGCCGATTCTCTGCAATTCTTTGGTGATTGTGTCCGGGGTGCAAATTCTATGTGCTCGGAACGCAAGAGTGCGGACTAGGTTTCGTTTGTACTGTATGGGTACCACACTATAGAAGTTGATGTACTGTCCAGTCCAGGTTGGTTTTCTATACACCCCTCTGCTGCATGATCCGTCGGCGTTTCTGATGATATCATCATGTAGGAACGGTAGTCGGTTTCTGGACTCTTGCTCACATGTGAATTGAAGATCCTGATCCGCATCATTAAAGGCTTCCAACTGTTTCACAGTCTGCACTTTCGATTTGCAGCTTATGTGTCGTCTACATTGACCCCGTGATTTATTGCTTTTTTCCTGTTGGAATTAAACGTTCTGATCAATACGCAGCCCAATCCGGCACATTTAGCACTTTCTCATCATCGTGTAATGTTTGAGTCTGATGAGAATTACCGAAAAGTATTCTTTACTCAGATTCTGCCTCCCTTGATTCATTCTAATAAACTGCATCGCTGGCTAGTTGCCATACCGGACTTGACTGGGTCGCGGTGCCACCCGCATTATACTCGTTCTGCCTTTGACGGTTTTATATCTCTTCCATTATTCCCCTATTATTGTTACTCCCCGTACAGTTGATCAACTGAATTGAGTCGGTGACGCTTGTATCACTAACTCTGCACATCTAAGCCAGGGTTGTCCAAACGTTTTACAAGGAGGGCCACATCTTGTGAGGTAAAAAACCTGTCTCAGGCCATATCCAGTCTAGCATTAAGATAATAACAAAAGATTACACTTGCACGAAAAGTCCAAGCCTGATTTTATTATTCCATAATGAGGACATGGGCAAGTTGAAATGATAACGCGGGCCGGACTTTGAACATCTCAGATCTAAGCGATCAATCGTGTACAATTTCTCTCTGATATGGTACACATTTGGCACGCACCCAGTTTTTTTCAGAGGACTCTTCTTGCTTAATTTCTTCCCCACCATTATGCTTTCTTTCAGCCTTCCACACGCGACATCGTATGGAGGATTAGTCGACACGCGAAGAGCTCCGCTCATGCCACTAAGCCGTGTTCAACTTGCTGCTTCAAGGTCGGGGGCGGTCGTACCCTCCCCCAGCTCCATCCTTCGTCCGACCGAAGTTCCATCACACGCCTTTCCTGTCGTCCAGCATCACATTACGGGCAATACAGGTTTGGGAGACCGGGATTGGATGCTCGGTTGACTTCGACGAGTTGAACACCTTCAGGATTCCGTCGGCCAACTTCCGCTATATCTCCGTCTATCGATTTCTATTTTATACTTTTGAATCATTTGATTTTATTATCTGCTTCCCATGTGATTTGAACTTTACGCGAGAACTTCTGTACTTCTTGAGGTTTATACATCCATCTGCTTTTAGCTATCAATGTGTTCTCAAAGTCAAGCTTACTGCATGCGGGTGTGTCGATCCCACGACTGATTCCACTCACTAGGTGTAATGCGAATACAATCGAGCAGGAACACTATTCAGCTTTCTTCTCATGGGAAAATGACACTATCTGACATGAAAGCTGACAGAGTATTGAAAGCGCGCGACAAAACACAACCAATACGAATTGGGCAAGTGAGGAGCCAATTCGATGCACACAACGAGACAAAAGTGAGGGGTTCTCGTCATATTGGAACTGTGATCCCCGAGTAAAAACAACGATTCTAAACATCCGATGGGTCTTACGAAATGACGCAATCAAACAAGAATCGGTGAATAAGCGCAATCGAACGAAAGTCTCCAACTATGAACGTTTGCATCTACATGTCCAAATTTTTATCGCTTTCGACCGCACATCCGTCTTCATTCCACCGTGGTTCGACCAAACGAGACGTGAGAAAAGTATCGATAGTTGATCCTCTGCGCTTTTATTTGTGGATTAGATGCTCTTTGGGGCAAAATCTAATTCTGTGCATTCCTTGGGGGCGTTGACGTACTACTGCGTTTTACTGTATCTCACATTGTCGAGAAATATGTTATTTGTTATTATTATTATTATCATTATTATTCATATGAAGTCCGGCGTCGCTTCAAACATTCGCGATGTGTTGCTCTTCACTCAGTCCAATGAGATCACAAATTTCCTAAGAGGTTTTTTCCGACTTGTGTAAGCGCTCGTTTCCAAACCTTTTATTTGCAGTGAATATGAGCAGACACCCAACACTTGCGCTTACAGTTTCGTTTACACGCTTCCCGGAGGTACGATGATGGGAAACGTGCGGACGAGAGCCGATGTCGATTCGGACCTGGCCGACGCTTCACCACGCATAGCATTGGTACAGCATGTGGTGTCTGACCCCGGTGTCCCCTTCCATGCTGGACCCATTGAGGTCCGCACTGCCACCGGAATGCATTCAATTCACTTCAGATCATGTGAACAACTATAATCTGGGACTGAAGTGCGGTGGATCCAGTTGCCACGGCCCGCATCGCCAGGTTAACGCCAAAAAATAACAGTAGGCAAACAAGATTGCATACAAACAGAGTGGAAAGAGAATGAGATCGAGAAAGCTAGATGCAAGAGATCGAAAACAGCAGCGCCTCCAGCTGTCTGTTAGCGTCTCCAAACGCTGATGTGGACCATCTCTGGGCCCCGTCCACGAAGACGGCATGCGTTAGCCTGACCAAACATCTCGGTCCGTTTCTCCATGCCATGTCATCCACTGTCGGCCTCGCAGTTCAACTTAGTGCAATCAAAGTGTAGATTATACACCGAGGATGGCGGTTGACGGGCTTATGGAAGACATGATCCAGCCAACGCATGCAGTTAAAATCTAGTAAACGCTCCAGTGAGGTACTAGTAGGCTTCTTGCCAAAGTCCACTTAGCGCATTTTGTGGTAGCTGCGCGGTGTGTCAGTCCAACGCTAGCCAGTCATTGATTTAACTGTTCCGATTGGTTGGATCCACCAGAGTCAGTGTGTATGTGTCCATTAATGCATGCTAACCATTGCTTAGACTGTCTGAACTTATGCGAAGCGCTGTCTTTGTGACGACACAATTCATTCTGTGTATTGCTGAAACTAACGTGCTCTACTTTCGCGCGCTACCGGCCGGATACTGCATCCCACTAGGTGTCGTGGTTCAGTACGGGCCGAGTTGTAACAGTGGCGACGGAGATCAATTTTGGATAACTTTGCTATGGGCCAGCTCACTTCACCGGAACCGTTTTAGAACGATACATCTTGTAAGCCAACTTTAGCGCTTTAGATTCGCTGGAAGAGAACATTCTGCGATTACCTTGAGCTATTCTCAATAACAAATCCTCACATTAATCTTGCCGCGGCCCAATCTGTCAAACTCCTGCGACAACTTCTTGGTGCAGAAGGTCAAACGCATTTTGATGCACTGTGTTTGTACGAAAACGTATCCTTGTCCGACAGTCTTAATGCACTCGATTGCTTTTGAGGGCCGCAGAAGCATGTCTTCATGGCATACCTGAGTTTTTCCCATTTACGATAGGGAGAGGAAGATGTTAATGAATTCATCAGCCGTATACAACAATCACTTCCAGACTGCCAGTGATTGCGAAATATTGCTAACGTCTGGTGGGAATACCTGTGAGCAATGCTGAGTTATGCTACAACTCCGCCCATACTGAACCACAACACCTAGTAGAACGCAGTATACGGCCAGTAGCGCCCGAAAGTAGAACCAGTTAATTCCAGCAATACACAGAATGAATTGTGTCGCCACAAAGACTACGCTTCAGATAGTCTAATTAATGGTTAGCTGGCGTTAATGGACACACACTGACTCTGGTGGATACAATCAAGAGGAACAGTTAAATCGATGACTGGCTAGCGTTGGAGTGACACACTGCGCAGATGCCACATTTCTCCTCCCTTTAGTTGGAACTACCCCAGCTGGTCGGCCTGAGCGGGGACATTGCGAAGTCATCGATTGACTGGCATTCTGCACATCTTCCAACTCAGTGATTGGGCTTGTCGATGTGTCAGCTGGCGGATTAGTGACAGAGCTGGGACGAACATGGTCCTTGTGTCGAATAACTACCCTGTCGTCTGGTCGAACCACTTCGGTATTTTGTCCCGCAATTTAGGGCAGATCTCCAGGCTGCCAGTTCGTTTCGTTAGGTAATGTGATATAAATCGGTTCGTTCTCACAGTTATCGATCGACCGCCCTCCGATCATAATCGCCTTAGACTTATATTGTTTGGCGTCAACATGTAGCCTCTGATCGGGAAACAGCAAGGCTAACCGTGTCCTTAATCTCCGCCCGAACATCGGTTCATTTAGGCTTTTACCAATCGTTTCGTTCGGTGTGGAGCGATAACCGAAACTACTGGGATGAAAACCTCAATAAAATTGCAACTAAAGTTCTGCTATTTACGGGCAATATAAAAAGGAATTTGTCTAACCTTGTTTGCAATGGAACTGGCAGTTGTGTTTCGTAGCTCGTTCTTGACCGTTTGGACCGCCGTTTCAGCCAAGCTATTAGAAGCTAGGTGATAAAGGGCCGATTCCACATGACGTATGCCGTTATTTTTTAGACTCATGAAATTTCTGACTAGTAAACACCGTGCACGATATACCAACGGTTGTAAAGCACGTTCGCATGTATGAAACTGTAGTCTCTGAGGTGGCTCGTGTTAGCGGGAAAATTTCGAATAAGCGTCGATCAAGAGAAGAAACACCTTCCCGTCGAGTGGGTCGAAGAAGTCAGCATGTACGCGCTCCCATGGTTTACTGGGCCATTTCCATGGGCTGAGTGGTACAGGAGGGGCGCTTCTTTGTGTGCTTTGACAAGTGTCGCAGTGTCGGATTAACTCTTCAATGTCTCTGTCAATATTGGGCCACCACACATAGGATCGCGCAAGTCCTTTCATCCTCGTTATTCCCAGTGAGTTTCGTGCAGCTCTTGGACGCAATCGGGGTGATATGATCGCTCTGGATCTCCAGAGTGGACATCCATCTTCAAGAGTAAGCTCGGAGCGTTAAGTAAAGTAGGGTAGCAGCTGCGGATCACATTTACCAGACCATTCCTGGGATACTAAAGGTTTGACCCTGGCAAGTAGTATGTCTTGTTCGGTTTCATGACGGATATTTGCGCTTAGCGCCGGATTTCCCTCTAAATGATGAAACAAATCAAGCAGTTCAGCGGGTTTCAGTACGCAGTCGGGTAACTGACTTAACGGTAGGTGGATCAGAGCGTCGGTAACTCCATTCGGTATCCCAGAAACAAATGAAATTTTGTAGTTGTAGGCCGAAAGCAGTAAGACCCAACGTTGCATACGAGGGGACGCCATCTGGTCAATTCCCTTTTCCTCAACGAGCAAAGTTAATAACGGTTTGTGGTCTGTAAAAATTTCCAACTTTCTTCCCCAAAGGTATTGATGAAATTGCTTAACCCAAAAGATAAATGCTAAGGCTTCCTTTTCTAGCTGGGCGTAATTCCTCTGCGCTAATGCCAAGCTTCTGGATGCAAAAGCTACGGTTCGTTCAGTCACGTCATCCATTTTGTGAGGTAGCATGGCTCCGAGCCCTGAGGGTGATGCGTCGTACTGGAGAGTAATTGGCCTCTTTGGGGCAAATTGTACCAGCAAATTGGCCTTACTTATAACCAGCTTGACAGCAGCATAAACATTTTGTTGTTCCGCCAACCATAGCCATCGGGTATTCTTACGCAGCACTACATACAAGGGTGCGAGGGTAGTTGTTAGGTTGGGCAAAAACGACTGCAATGAGTCACCATGCCGAGAAATGATTGTAGTTCGGGAATGTTACGCAGTGTCGGCGAATCGAGAATGGGTTGAATTTTCTCCCATAATGGATGTAACCCATGTCTATCCAAACGAAAGAAATTTCTTCGCAATTTTATTTCGACATCATGCTAAAACGACTGAGAGGTATAAACGTCCATAACAGATAAGAATGCGAACTCAAAGGTGTACGCGACTGGGTGACCGTGCTAGGCGATTGGTTCCAATGGGATCAAGCGTGGTGCGCCAGAATGACATGAAGCCAGGATGGACGCAGTCCCTGGATATATTTTTTATGCGCATACAAGTCAAGGACATGAAACCGAAGTGCCATTGTTTCGGCCGCTGCCGACGTCTAGATACGCGATAGATGGGATGGAACGCTTCGTGCGCTGTTAACTGATAGTTCTAATCAACCAAATGCGCAAGCGTAGCGCTTACCACTGTTCTAGTCGCTCCGTTATAAGGCCAAGAGGAACAAGGCTCCTGGCTCCTTCGGACAGTATCCTGGTGGTATCTCCTACACTTCTTGATCACCAAGAACCAGCGAAAGTTAAACATAAAAGGAAATATTTCACACCACAATACTGATCCAAAACTGGAGATGAATCGAAGCGTAACCGCAAATCTGATGGGTAGTATTTTTGAGAAGTGTC